CTGCTACATTGCCCTTGATTGAGTCCCACTAGGCGTACTAAAACCTTCCTTCCAATGATTTTTGTTCACTTGTTGTTCCCTTGTCCCTAGGTTGGTCCCCGCTCCCTTTCCTTTCTCCCACCTCCCCTTTTCCTGTATCCCCCTCCCCCCCACTGGAACCATTGGTCCCATTCTTTTCATATCCGAATTATTTATCCCACCTATCTTATCTAGATAGACATGCAGATACATTAATAAGTACAAAAAACAGGCAAAGCCAAATAAAAGAACAGAGGAAGTCAAAACCAGCAAAAAACAAATACAAAATAACAATAACAAAAAGAAAGCCATTGACCAAAAAAATGGAAAAGGCTATACATAGTTCAAGGTCTGTTTGTTGGCCTTTAAGAGTGTTTTCCAGTCGAGTCTGATGGGGTGCCACACTCTGTCTCCCAAGTCTACTTGTGGTATTCCCTGAGAATTTCATCAGTCTGCTCCCCCTGCTGCTCTGCTACATGCCCTCGGTGCCATCTGCTCCATTAGGTCAACTGTATTTTGAGAAGACAGCTCATTCCCCACCATATTTTTAAAGCCTTCCAACATGAGGGGCTCATCAACCAGCACCACATCACATAACGTTCTGGTTTTGTCCATAATATTTTATTTATCTATTTCAATAAATAAAATAAAAGTTGGACATTGAATAAGAAACACCAAGGAAGAATCGATGTATTTGAATTGTGGTGCTGGAAGAGAATACTGAAAGAACCATGGGCTGCTAAAAGGACAAACAGAATCAGTCTTGAAAGAAGTACAACCAGAGTTTCCTTAGAGGCAAGGATGACAAGACTTTGTCTTTCTATACTTTGGACATATTGTCAGGAGAGACCAGTCCCTGGGGAAAGACATCATATTTGGTAAAGTGAATGGGGTGGTGAAAGAGAAAAAGGCCTTTGACAAGATAGATTAACACGGTGGCTGCATCAGTGGGCTCAGTCATGGAAACAAATATAAGGAAGGCACAGGACTGGGCAGTGTTTCCTTCTGTTGTGCATAGGGTTGCTATGGGTTGGTACCAACTCACTGGTACCTAGCAGTAACAACATGTCAATAAGTTTAGATGATAGCTACCTGAAAACTTATTGGAAGATATCCATATTCATGATTATTCTAAAGAAAGGTGAGTCAACACGATGTGAAAATTATCAAATAGTATCTGCGCTAATACATAGAAGTAAAATGTTGCTGAAGGAGATTCAAAAACAGCTGCTGTCATATTTGACAGGAATCTTCAAGAAGTCCAAGTGTATTCAGACTAGGACATATAATGAAGGACATCGATGCCTGTGTCTTACGGTTCTTGGCTGAAAGTATAGAATACCAGAAAGATGTTTACTTGTGTTTTATCAACTACAGAAAAGCATTTGTGTAGATCATAACAAATTACGGCTAATGCTGAGGAAAATAAAATTTAAAGAATACTTAGTGGCACTCGTGTAGAAATTGCAACTAGTTTAAGAAAGTCATTTGAATACAAAAAGATTATTTTGTCTGGTTTAATATATGAATGGTGTGCAGCTGGGTGTATGATTTCACCATACTTATTCAATCTATATACTGAATAAATATTCGGGGAAGGTAAACTATGTAAAGAAGAACATGTCATCAGGAGTGAAGGACAGCCCATTAGCAACCTGCAATATAACAAATGACACAACCTTGTCTGTTGAAAGCGAAGGCCATTTGAAACACTTCCTGATGAAGATCAAAAGACCACAGATCTCAGTATGCATTATAATGAAACAAAAAATAAAAATCTTTACAAGTGGAACAATACAAAAACATCACTTAAAATGTCAAAATTGAAGTTGCCTAGCATTCTATTCTCCTTGGACCAATCATCAGTCTCTATTCAAAGTAACCATCAAATCAAATCATATATTAAACTTGACACATCTGTTTCAAAAGACCTTTCTTAAAATACTGAAAAAGTAAATATTAAGCATAAGGTTTTCCGTGATTATATCCTCTGAAGCGGATGAATGATTGATTCCTTCTTTATAGTATGTTCTGTCTGAAAGCATCACCGAAACCTGTGCAGTTTAGGCGACCCTGCTGGCATTTGAAATACCAGTGATGCAGCTTCTAGCATCACACCAACACAAAAGCCACACAGTGTGAAAAGCTGACCGACAAGTGGTGGTTCAGCACTATTTTTAATGACTGGTCGCTATTCCAGTTTCAGAAGGTAGAACAGGAGCAGGAACAAACGGCACAGAAGAAAGAAGTTCAAGTTGCACTGAAAGCATTAGCCAAAAAATAAGCTTCTAGGAATTGATGGACTATCAATTGAAATGTTTCAACTAGCCTATGAAGCACTGGAAAAATACGTACCTATATCAGGAAATATGGAAGGCAGTTACTTGGAAGAGTGGACTACTGGAAGAGATCCATATTTGAACCCAAACCAAAGAAAGGTGACCCAATAAAATGCTTACATTATAGAACGATATTGTTAATATAACATTTAAGTAAAATTTTTCTGTATATCTTCCAACAACAATTACAGTTGTTCATTGACAGGGAGCTACCAGAGGTTCAGGAGAGAATGTGGAACAAGGGATATCATTGCTGATGTCTGATGGATCTTGGCTGAAAGCAGAGACTACTAGAAAGATTTTTACTTGTGTTTTATTGACTATGCAAAGTCATTCAATTGTGTGGAACATAAAGAGCTATGTATAGCTTGAAGGAATTGGGGATTCTAGAATACTCCATTGTGCTTACTCAGAACTTTTATATGGATCACGAGGTAGTTGTGCGAACAGAACAAGGTAATACTGCATGGATTAAAATCAGGAAAGGTGTGTGTCAGGGTTGTGTCTTCTCAACATACGTATTCAAATCTGTATGCTGAACAAATAATCACAGGATTTGGCTTATGGAGAAAAAGGTGGCATCAGGATTGGAGGAAAGCTAATAAACAACTTTTGATATGCAGATGACACAACCTTGCTTACTGAAAGTGAGGAAGACTTGGAGCACTGGCTGATGAAGATCAAGAATTGCCATCTTCAGCATGGATTACTACTTAATGAACAGAAGGCCAAACCCTCACAACTGGATAAATAGGTAATATTACAATAGAGAAGATTGATATTGTCAAGAATTTTGTCTTGCCTGGATCCACAATCAATGTTTATGGAAGCAGCAGTCAAGAGAGCAAACCCCACACTGCATTGAGTGAGTCAGCAGCACAAGACCTCTTTAAAGTGTTGAAAAGCAAAGAGGATGAAAGTGTGCCTGACCCAAGCCATAGTATTTTCAATCACCTCCTATGCATGTGAAAGCTGGACACTGAATAAGGAAGACTGAAGAAGTTATGCATTGGAATGGTGGTGCTGGAGAAGAATGTTGAAAGGACTGCAAATAGAACAGGCTGATCTGCCTTGGAAGAATACAGCCAGAACGGTGCTCAGAGGCCAGGATGAGGAGACTTTGCCTCAAGCTCTTCGGGCATGTTGCCCTGCAAGCCTGACTGCTCCTGGAGAAGGATAGCTTGCTTGGTAAAGCAAAGAAAAAGCAGAAAGCCCCTGAAAAAGTGCATGAACTCACTGACAGCCAGCACTGGCTGAAGCAGCGGAAGAACTGAGGGCTGGCGCACTGGGGGGAAGTGCACTCTGTTGTACCTGGACGGAGTCCCTGTGAGTCAGACCCAACTCCATGGCACCTAAAACCAAAACCAAGACTCACAAAGGTAGCGCTTTCATGACTATGATGCCCCTATCTGAAGGCCAGGTATTTTCAATCACCTCAGATGCAAGGGAAAACTGGACAATGCAAAAGGAAGGCGAGAGAAGAATTTACCTATCGTAGTTTGGTGAAAAGTATTGCTTATACCACAGACAGAAGAATAACCAAATTCATCTTGGGGAATTTGTACAGCCACTGTGCTCCTTTAAAGATAGGATAACAAGACTCTGTGTTGCTTACTTTGGGGATGTTATCAAAAGGGACCAGACCTTAGAGAAGAACGTCATTTGGAAGTCCTTCAAAGGGCTACTCTGCTTATCAGAGCAGAGAGTAAGTGACAAAGACCTGAAACGAGGTGGATCGACACAGTGACTGCATCAGTGGGTCAAACACAGGAATGATTGTGAGGCGAGCACAGGACCAGACACTGTTCCATTCTGTTCTACTTACTCCAAAGCACCTGTCAACACAGAATGCCAGCTTACCACTGTTCGCTTTAAAGAATAAAGCTAAAGCTCATATCCTCCTCAAATATTGAGAAAGGATATCCTCTATTTCTGAGAAATCTTCCTTCAAAAAAATTTGAACCTACCATATATACTCATGTATAAACTACATTTTTCAGCACATTTTTAATGCAGCTTTTGTGGTAAAATGAGGTGCCTTGACTGATATTCGGAAGGTCGACTTATACTCAAGTATATACGGCATATCCTCAGTGAACTTAGGTCCTTTTTCCAGCTAACATATTTCTTTTTCAAAATCTTTTCAAATTAGCCTATGTATAGGAAGGAAATGATGGTTATCAGTCAAGATTAATTTTTGTTGTACTTTACAAGGTAGACATAGAAAAAAAAGTTTTAGTATATTTCTACACTTGATCATAGCCAAAAGAGAAAGAAGCAATTGGTCTTAGCATATTTCTTTCAAGGATTGTAAACCATACATCATTGCTGCTGTTTAACAACTTGGAAAATAAAGGATGTTTTAAATGTGGGAATGGAACTTCTTACCATTAATAAGTCTCATTTAATAAAGACAAATTGTATAATATATGAATGCATTTCTAGCAACCAAAAAAAGGTAAAAAAAAAATATTGATAAAATGACTACAAAACATCTAACGTGTCCTTGCTTCTGGAACTGAGATAATAAATTTCTTTCCTAGTCAACAAAGGTGTGATTAACATTTAAGTAGAAAAGTTATTTAACATTTAAGCGCAAAGGTTGCTGCATGAGTTACTATGGCTTTATCAGCTCACCCTTACCAGCACTTCTGTTGAAGTTGTCCTTTATAGCAGTTGAGATGTTCAAGCACATTGTTCAATTTAGAACTATTTTTCTGAACACAGGACCAAGCAGCAACGCAGTGCCAGAGCAGGTTGCTAACTTCATAGCCTTTCTGTTTAAATTGCAAACTTTCCTGGAACTAAACATGAAAATATTTCAGGAACATCGTTCTTTGATTCGAATAAACATGAAAATAAGTTTTAAATATGCAAATGAAAAGTAATCTTTTCTTATACTTCTGTTTCCACCAGTTGAACAATTTACACAAGTATAAAGGAACTCTGGTGGCAGAGTTGTTAAGCATTTGCCTGCTAATCACAAGGTGCACAGTTTGAAACCACCAGCTGCTTCACAGGAGAAAGAAAAAACTTTCCACTCTCATAAAGAGTTACAGTCTTGAAAACCCACAGGGCCCGTTCTACCCTATCCTATTGGGTCAGCATCGCCTCAGTGGCAGTGAGTGAGATATTTCTATAGGTATAGTATATATTGTTAACATGAACCATTGAAAATAATATTTTATTTTTATTTTTAAAAGGGTCCTTTGTGCTTAGATCACCAGATCTACAATATAACAAAACATCTATCTCCTCAAAAAAACAACTATTTGAACGACACAATTGTACTTCTTAGACTGTGTTCTTAACATCTGAGGAAGAGGGGATGGGGGGAAATTAAATAATGAGCTAATAGTAAATTAGGCTTTAAATGTGAATATTGAGGAGCAAATATATGTCCCTAGCTGGACATGGTCAGCATCATTTATGTATCTATTTTAAAGTCTACAAATTCAGAGAGCAAATAAATGATTATAGTTTTGCCCTCCCACCTTCCCACCCAAAGTGCTTCCTGAAGTTTCATTGATATAATTGGTCACTGAAATAATTGGAATAAAGGGACCTGATTTTATTGTTAGTTAATGATAAAGCATTTTCAATAACTTCTTTTGGTCCCAGTAAAAATTCAAATAGACATTCTGTAATATGTACTCAATTTCTCCTTCAATTGCTAACTTCAAGTTGATATTATATACTTCAATACTCAAAAGGAAGACTTAAAAGTGGAATCTAAATGACTTTATAATTCCCATATATTACATAAAATAAAATAACAGGACCACAATTTAAAGATATTTTCATTGTTAAGTGCTGTTGAAATATGATTTGGAGGTAGCATCTGACGTCCTCCATTTACACAAACGGAGACAGAGAATACAACTCCACACCAGTGCAGGACTGATTCCCGTGAGGCAAGGTTCAGACCTGCAAACATCCCAACCTTCTACCAAGTCTAATGCCAACCATACTTCTACTTCTCAGCTTGGTTCCATAATTCATTGCCTTTGTCACACAGAACTCACAAAACATATTAGTGATGATGGGGTTTAATAGGTACGTTGGCAGGTACAATTGAGGTATGAAATGTTCAACTTGCAGTTGTTTAATCGGACAGTCACTTCTCTGTTGTGCCTGCAAGCAGACCTCTTGGCCTGGCTTCTGTCCTGTTCCAACAAAGATGCAAAGCTTTTGGGGGGCTGCCAATGAATGCCCAGAGCGAACACTGCTCCAGCACTCAGCATTAGATTCCTGAGACAGCAAAGCTAGCTCCTTCGGTGCTGTGCCTGAAGTCACCGGACTCCATCAGCCAACCTCCGGCCTGAAGATGCTCAGCTTTTCCTGCTCCATGGCCTGGGAAGTCCACCACTCGGTGGCATGCCCCAGTCCTTGGTTTGCTGCTCCCGCTTCGGTGGCATGCCTCTGTGGCTCCTCTGGTGACACAACTGTTTCTAGAGAATAGAGGTTCAGTGTGCAGGGACCTCAGAGTCCAAAGGACTGTAGTACTCCAATCTAGTGAAATTCGCCCATCCTCCTTCTGAGATGGCTCTTTTCACACCCAGCATGATGGCAATTACAATTTACCTGCTACCAACCACTCACAGTTAAATTGTATAATCCTGTGAATAGTTTCTCCCACTTTCTCTTACCCAGATTCATTAGAGAAAGGTAATTTGGTGGGAGTTACAAAGACTGGCTAGAAAAACCATATTCAACAATACAATGCAGCGCAAGCACTCTTATGACAAAAGTCCAGATATTGACTCAAATTTTAAGCAGTTTCTAGTAAGCAAATTAAGTCTCATTGATGAATATTAATCTACTTTATGTCAGGAACTCTGTTATATGCTGGATATAAAGGCATGAATCAGACAAAGTCTCTGTACTAGACTACTTACTCTTGGAAACAATAATTCAGAAAAGCAAACAGCGACGTATCAGTGTTTAAAATGTTAGACTATTCCATAGAAAGCTCTGGCCTACAAAATAGTATCAGACTGAAGCATAATGACTCCTGCAAATGCACACATTTTATCCAAATAACACTATTTCTGTTTTAGGGTAGAATTAGAATTCATATAAATGAAATTCTTTTTTCAAACTGCTGCAGAGGTCTATATAGTCCATACATAGCATCTTTATTCTGAATAAATGAGTATATAGGTTTGTTTTGAAATATTTAGTTAGATATAGTCAGTTATAAATTAATCTTTTTTTAAAAAATCTTGTGTTAAATAGTTATATAGACTAGTTAGGCCAGAAATTCTTATGTTAACACCCTTCGGCTCTGCTACTAGAGAACTTTCCCTAGACATTTAGACATTGAACTAAGCTTTCTGTGATATCATATGTATTCATCATGAAGAAAGAAGAAAAGCTGCTCTGACATCCCTGTTATGACGTGGTGGTCTGATGCCCAGTCAGGTCGTTTGGTTCTTCTCTTGGACAGAAGCAAGCTTGGAGAACACCAGCCTTAGACAACGCTGATCAGAGCCATTCAAATACAAAACAAAATAAGGCTCTTTCCTAATTGTCTCGGGACACAAAGATAAACAAAGTCACCTAGACACCCAGGCTTTATCCAGCCTTATATCACCCCTGATTTCTGATAGCCAACCTAGGGAGGACCCTCGCTTTTTACACCCTTTCTTAAAGGACCCAACCTAACCTCCACGCCTATGATAGGTTCTTACAGAGACATGGCACGGTTTCCATGGGTGTGTAGTTTCTCTCTCTGCAGCAAGAAAGAACCCAGCTTGTTTAACAGCGGATGTGCTGATCTAGTGGGTGTTAGTAGCATCTAGAACAAATGAATATTGTCACACTTGTAAATTTTCCAGATAATGAAAACCTTACTAAAATATCTTCCCTGCTTCTCCAAAAGAAGGAAGAAATAAATCACTTGGATAAATTAATATAATTATGATGATAATGTGATTTAATATAATCGGCACATACTCTTTCTCTGTAGAACACCAGCGAGAACTATGCTCTTAGAGCTATTAGATGTAGAAATTTTGGCCTTTACATAAATCAGTCCTAGGCTAATTTAGTGCCATTTGCAAACTATTAATAACTAAGTACAGAAATTAAGAATAAATATTTAGAAATGTTTATAGCAACTTGACAGAATAATTCAAACTAATGAAACTGAGGCTTGTGTTTTTCCCTTTATTTTTCTAGTCATGCAGTGGAGCTCTGGTGGTGTGATGGTTATGCGTTGGGCTGCTAACCACTAGGTACGCAGTTTGAAACCACCAGTTGTCTGTGGGAGAGAGATGTCCATTCTAATTCCCTGAGGAGTTAAAATCTCCGAGACCCCCAGGGGCAGTTCTTCCCTGTCCTGTAGTGTCTCCATAGGACACTAGATCTATAGGATCTACTAGATCTCCATGAAAGTGATCCATTTATTTTTATTGTATTTTTAAGTACCAGTCTGAGATGAATTGGAAATTGAAAATCAATAAAACTATTAAAAACAATATTGAAAGTATTCATTTATCCTTCATCATTTGAGAAGCACTGAATTCTCAGTGAACGAATCCTAGAGGGTTTTGTTTGTTTGTTTTTTCCCCTGGCTTTCACAATTACTCATGAGGATGAACCAAAAAGTATCATTACAAGGGTTCTAGTTCATACATGCATGCGCTAAATTCAAACAAAACATGAAATCAGTGAGTGGCCGCAAACCAGTTCTCTCAGTAATATACTTGAATACGTCTCATTAGCATGCTTTTAAAAACACCTAATCAAAAGGTGCCTTGTATTTTATTGGCTCCGCACACCCTTTAGGTAGAGGCCACCTTGGAAGATCATGCTGTTTTGGAGTATCTCAGAGGGATCATCTTCACACGACTCAGGACAACCACAGGAACTTATTATGAAGACGTTTTAAGAAAATCAAAAACTGTACCAGAGAAAAGATGAGCAAAGTTGTACTGAGGATTTTTTTTCTATGTCAACAAAGCATATGCTAATTTTTCAAGTGTAGTAAGGCCTGTCCTATGACTAATACGTGAGGAATCCTTACCCCATCTTCTTTGAAGGATCTTGCCCCTTCATAATTCTTTTTGTTTCCAAACCTCAAACATTGAAAAGGAACACATAAGATTCTCAAAAATCCCAAAATGACCATTTGACATGGTATAAATTGAAGAAAATAGAATTCTTTACATATGAGTTGTTCATGTTAGTTGTCAGGTGCCATGAAGTTTTTACCGATTCATAACAACCCTATGCACCAGAGTACCAAACCCAGCCAATCATACACCATTCTCACAACCGTTCCCATATTTAAGTCTACGTTGTTGCTCTTAAAGATTATAAAGGGTTAAACCTAAAGTGAAAACACTGCCTTCAGAATTGTTTAGACCTAGATAGAGGATATGTCCAGAAACAATAGCTTTACATTTTGATAGTTTATTTAATAAAGATTTGAATTCTTTTATAGCAATACTTTTTTACTTCTTGTATTAGCTGAGTTTTCTGGCAAACCAATACCTATGGCATTCCTATATTAGAACAAATTACTTTACATCAAGAAAGAGTTCCAGCTCAGTCTAACTCAAGTGTAGCATGAGACCTAGCCTGAGTCTCTCAAACCCAATCCGGACTCGTAGTGACCTGATAGAGGGTTCCTGAAGCTGTAGATCTTCACAGGAGCAAAACATCTCATCTTTCTTCTGTGGAGTGACGGGTGAGTCCCAGCTGACGACTCAGTGGTTAACAGCCCAGCTCATGACTTACTACACGACGCGGACTCCTGTATTGCCTCAATAATAGGACATGCATCTTAAAATTATATTTCTCATTTCAGAGAACCTTATCTCAGCCTAATCCAATTCCTAGTAACCATTTAAAATTACAGTACAGCACAACATGTCCTGATTCGTGCCAACTCCATGGTTTAACTTTCATAATTAAACCACGAAGGCTTTCTTCCGAAGCCTCTCTGAGTGGACTTGAATGGCCAACCTTCCATCTGACTTACCAAGTCAGAGGGCAAATCTGGTGACCGATTGAAAAGGTAGAGTTTCACAATTGCTAGTTTTCAGAGCATTATTTGGACTTCATAAGAGAAAAAAATATTCATAAAGGACCTACTGCATTTTATCTGAGTTGAGGCCCGGTGGTGTCACAAGATCAGCAGTTCGAAATCACACCGCTGCTATGCAAGGAAAGAGGAGGCTTTCTACCCCTGCATAGATTTAGTCTCAGAAACCCACAAGGGTGGTTCTATTCTGCTTTGTAGGATTGCTATGTGATAGTCTTGACTCTAGGGCAATGAATTTGGCTTTACTGTGTTGTTATTATTCTCCAAAGAACTAAGTTATTATTACCATGTGAAAACTATTCCTGTAAAAATTTAGCTTTTTTAGTAACACAGCACTGACTGGAAAACTCACTCCAACATTCTGTCTCTACAGTCCTCGATCTAATAACAGTGAACCGTTTGTCAAAGTAAATGGAAACCTGTGTCTGGATCAGCATGAAACAACGTGAAAAGGAGACACGGGCTCCAGCAGCCAATAGAGGAAATGTCCCCTTCTTAAACAGGACTCACACCCGTGTTATATCATGTGCACACCCAACAGAACTGATGTTAGGTTTTTTGGTGGGTATCTTCTTAGCAGCACCCTGCCAACAAATTAAATACCTAGGCATTTGTGCCAATTCAGCTAAGTATATAGAAAGTTCAACCATATTACAGTACCCAAAATATAATGTCATAGATTTTTATCATTTGTGGGGGACAGAGACTCTAGAAAAGCATCCACAATCGGTGTATATATTCTTCTATTGATTAAGAAGGGACATTGAATGAATACAAATTTATCTTTTGTATTTTCTTTTTTATCTATTTCTTTTCCAAATCTTTCTCTACCTAGAAGGGAAAATAGGTGAATAGCTGATGTCTGGGTAAAAAAACGCTGAACCCAAGAGGCTGAGTTACATGTGTATCTAAATGGGAGATGTTGGACTGAAGCTAATAAAAGTTAAAGACTTATTCAAATATGATGAAGGGGAAAGTGTCAGAGCTTAAATTGTGAACAACCAATTTGCAGAAGGCGATAGGGGACGGTGGGGACCCACAAGTCACCTGCAGAGTCTGGTCAGACTGGACCTCTGGCAGATCCCCTCTAGTTACAGGTGAGAGATTCAAGCAGCTTTACTATCAGACTGAGATTATTGTAAATTTGGTTATGGTGAAACCAACCAGGATATAATATACTTGGTCAGCTGACCTCTCTCTTGACCCAACCTGAACTTTCTCTATGCTCAAATATTTCTCAATTATTCCAAGAAAAAAATTTCTTCTCTGGCTTTTCAAATATTGTTGGTGTTTTTTTCTTTCTTACTCTTTATTTTTATCTTTATATTATTATTATTGTGTTTTCTTCTTTCTGTTTCATTTTGGTTTTGGTTTTTAATATCTTAGGTCTCCCAATTTAGGAAGCACAGAAGGAATGGATGCATAGAAACATTAGCTGATGCAATGGTTTTCAGGAGCAGGGGGGAGAGCGGAATTGGGGAACCATCAGTGGATGTAGGAGGAAGGGGGAAGCAGTAGAGCTGATTGTGATGTTGTGTATACAACTCGTTTTAGAAGTGGTTTAACTATGGAAGTATACTCTATGTGAATATTGTGTCAAGAAAACCACTGAAAACAAAGAAAAGAAACCAAACGTGACCTATGGTCACCCTGGGAGGAGGAGGAAGAGCTGCGCCTTGGAGGCATGGGATTCATTTCAATGTTGGTGGAACAATTTGGAGAGGGGTGAGTATAACAGTTGTGCAAGATGAAGAGGATCAAGAACGGCACGGAATTAGACATGTGGAACTTGTTGGATTGGTGAAGGTTTCATTGTGAACATTTTTGCCAAAACGGAAGAAAAAATTACATGAATAGCAATGAGAATGAGGAAAAAGAAAATGATTTAAAATTGATTGTGGGAAATATTGCGCAACTCTTACTGATATGATTAAACTATTGAATTGTATGATGTGTGGATGAAGTGCAAATAAAAATGTTTAAATAAAAAAAGACATTCATGCACTCTTTTACTGACATGGCATTTTGCCAGTGCTGTGACTACATTACCTTTTATATACTTTTCATTATGCGGCAACGGGAGAAATTATTCCCAGTTCCATTGAGTCAGTTTTAACTCATAGCAAGCCCATAGGTGTCACAGTAGAAATGCTCCACCGGGGATTCACTGTATGACTTTTCATAAGAAGATTGTCTGACCTTGCTTCTAAGATGTCTCTGCAGAGACTTGAACTTCTAACCTCTCAGTTTGGTGTGCTTTAACCTTTTGCACCAAACGAGACTGAGGGAGGGAAAAATAACTACAATCTGATAGGTCAAAATCTTTTATAATCCACTAGTAGAACTATATGTTTCATGCTGAAATTAAGCTCAGAAAAGATTGGATCGACCCTTCATCCTGGAGTGGTTAAAAGGCACACAGAGACTTTACAATTGGTCACACTCTGAGCAAAGTGTAGCACATGTCGATAGCCTTCCTGCCTCCCTTATAATTGAGGCCCAACTGTAAAGCAATATGTTTCCAGATCCATTTTGATGTATGTGCACTAAAGGTGAAATGATTGAGTTCATTCTTAAAAAGTAGAATGCACAATGATCATTTAGATGAGGTTTCTACTCCCATAACAATGTACAGTCTCAGAAACCCACAGTGGCAGTTCTACCGTGTCCTACAGGGTTATTATGAGTCAGAACTTACTCAATGATAGTGAGATTGGTTTGGAGTTTTAACTGTTTAAAAAAAAAACCACATTAAATTGTTAAAGTAAGGAAGTGTTGATTAGTACTTAAAGGTGTTAAATACAAAATTGTTTATCTGAAAGGTAACCCCACACGTAATGTACAATTTCTTAAAAGTTAGCAATTCAAACCCACCAGAATCACCTCAAATATAAAGTCAGTTGATCTGCCTGTGCAAAGTCACCATCTTTAAACTGGTGTGGAATATAGCTCTACTCGGCCTG